AGGAGATTCGAACCGAATCCTGTACCAAACATATCGGAAAACTTCTTTCCAGAGCACACTAAAACAACGCCACCGCGTGGATTTCGAAAACTTATGGACGACAGCCGGATGGCACGTGCATTCCAGATGCAAGGCTGATGTCCACTGTCCCACAAATGCATTATGGTTTTATTAGACTTTGACCATTCTCAAAAAAGCTGCTATTGATAAGGTGCAGTCAAAGAGCAGGATTACGGCGTCAACAGGGTTCGGTGTCAATAGAAACAAGCATGTCTTACAACCAAACAAATACGGTTACTCTTTCTCACGTGGAAGTCATGGAATTCGCTTCAACACTTTGTTTCCAGTAGGCTTGAAATAGTAGGTCCTGCGAAGAACATTGGTCTGAGTTTATGGTGGTTCAGGTTGGTTTCGAGTGACAGAGTTGCAGGCTTCCGAAAAGTGTTCTGCGAAACTGCCAGCAACATCTGGGATGTCCATGAGAGTCAGCTGGCTTCGAAGGTTGCGACATTTACAGCACTTCGTTCCTGAAATTGTTGAAATGGCAGACAAGCCACATACACCTGAGCGAAGAGAAACAGGAGGATAGTGAACAAAATAGAAATAGCATTGATTACACAAGCATAGATAGAAGCATAGATATAATCACAGTACTAAAAAAATGAATGAGCAAAACACAGAAAGANCATTGATTACAAAAGCATAGATAGAAGCATAGATATAATCACAGTACTAAAAAAATGAATGAGCAAAACACAGAAAGATCATTGTGAAACTGCTCTTGAGAACTAAATAAGGTAGCCAGTGGTGGAGGTGGTGTAGTGGCAAGTGGAGCACTCGTCATCACATCCCACACCCACACATTGCCCGGAGATCGGATTCCACATTGACATGAACCTGGGCTAGGAACTGTCACCTCTTCTGGATTGCATTAATGGTACGAGACTTGTCGGGGAAAATAAGGAGGCTTAACATCACATCGGCCAGTGTAAGTTAGCGAATACGCTTCCGCCTTTTCGACTCTGAATAAGAGTCCTATGCGGGTAATCGTGACAAGAAGGGATTTACCAACTCCCAATGACTGTCCTCAAAGCTTTCAGACTTGCGGACGTTTTGTGTACGTTAGCAAGTATCATAGACTTCTGAGACATATTCCGAGCAATCATTACATCACTAAATAAAGGCATGCACGTGAACTTCGCAACTTTACAAATTATAATTGGACAACATCGCATTCATACTACCATCCTCTACCATGCAAGGGAAAAACTCATATTATCAGCAGCCTATTCGCTAAAAGCACTGTTCACCAATAAACGCTTCGTTGAACTGCATCACTGTAAGAGATATAAGCCTTCGAAATAACGTTAACATCGTCTCATGGGTTGTGGGGTGTGAAGGAACCCGTCCATTATGAGTTGCGAAACGCAGACTAGACAGTCACAGTTGTCGCTTACCCCTGCATTGGGTCACCGCCGTTAGAAGAAGACGTCCAAACCTACAACTCCTACAGAGCGATAAAACACTTCAGAATTTCTTTTTAGGGAACTGTTAGACATCTACCATCCTCGCTTGGTTCTATGTTGGTCATCAGTGGTACTACCGGTTACCATGTACTCCATCTTCTCGAGCATCCCTTTTAGAAGAAAATGTTCGTAAAACGGCGGTCAATGAGTTCCTCAAGTCACAGCTTCCTTATTTCCAAACGAAAAGTAGTGATTTTCTCGATGCTCAGCGGATGAGAAAGGCTGTCGATCTCTTTAGGTCGAAAAATTCTTTTGCCAACTTAATACGAATCACTTTTTGTCATCCTACACCACAATAGTGGAGGCGTCAACATTCACTTGGTGAGTGGCTCCTGCTCTCACGTCCTCTTACCAGCTCTTATCAATTGTTATCAGTTTCTATCATCGGCCACAGCTCTCCTCATCACATGCCAAACTGTCGGGGCTCCACCATCAGTGCAATTATTTTGGTGTTTTCCCCTTCAAAGGTTGTTATTAGCCCTTATAAGTGGTATCACTTCGTGCTCGATCTCGTCACCACCGAAATGCCGAGTTTTCATTTTTAACACGAATATCGTAGCCTCTTGCTTTCTAGAGCCCATTATCAGCCAAAATTGATTGTTCTCAGTTCTCGACACCGAGAACCTACAACTCGGTCACACCTTACATCAAATTTTCAAAACTAAGGGCGTCACGAACCTAGTGGCTCTCGCCTTCTTTGGGACTTTAACTATCTATCAGCCCTTATCGCTTGGTCATTGTCACCATTCATTTACGTCCCTTTACATCCCACACCACCTACCAATTCGCCGAAGGTCCACCGTTAATACGAATCAAATTACTCATATACGCAGTGACTATCGCCTTCTAGCGCCTCTTGGCTCGCTGTCAGTCCTTACCATCTGTTAGCAACCCTGCCACCAGTCGTCTACTGTCCCTCATATCTCACAAAACCTACCAGGTTCCACCCTTACACGAAGGGTGTAATGGAACTTGTGGCTTTCGTCTTGTAAAGTTCTCCGTAACAGTTCCCATCAATTGTTATCAAACCATTAGTATTCCCACTCTGCCTCCTGTATCCCTTCCACATTGGACACACACCCTCCCTGAGAGATCCGTCGAAGTCAGAAACCGTCCTAATCACTACAAAATCGCTTTTTTTTGTCCATAAAAAGCAAGCTCAATGAGTTCAAGATTAAAACAAAAAAGCAGGATCAACAATTTATTTGGCTTTGTGAGAAGCTATAGGCTCAGAGCAAAGCTGATACCGGTGCACACAGATTTGGATCAGCAATCGAACCTCGTTCAAGTGCGTAGAATTGATCACCCATGGAGTGAGAGTAGTACTCAGTGTAGTTCGTGCCAGCGAAAGCAAAACATTGGTTCTGAGAAAAAAAGTGATAGATAACGTTTCTACAATATACAACAATCAACTGTGAAACAATGATCTGTGTTTTATTTGGGATGCAGTATCTCACATAGTACTATATCTCACAAATGAATTGCAATGTTGGGGGGGGATAAATCTTAGGTCACGGTCACCTGATCCTCATCGACTACACTACGT